AAGTTAGTATGTGAAAATCAAAATATCTTGTAAATATCCTTGTATATATAAAAAAAAAACATGTCATGCTGACCTAACTGTGGGTTAAAAAAAAAAAAAAAAAATTTTTAATGAATTACTGTATTTATAAATATTAAATAAATTATTAATTATTTTTTATTAAATCATTAATGAATCTTTGATAAAATATTATTACAAAATTTTTATTAATTTATTAATAAATAATTTTGTGACAAACTTTTATTGAATTGTTAATAAATTTTTTATGAATATTTATAAATTGTTAATTAATTATATTGCTGAATATTTTATTATTATTTTATTGATAATTTATTGTTGAATTTTTAATTGTCACTTTATTGCTAAAATAGTGATATATCAAATAGTAGCAATTAAAAAGAATCTATCAATATTTTTATTACTAATTTAATCAAATTCAATAATAATTTAACTATCAAATGATATAATTTTAACTAGTATTAGAGTATTTAATTTAGACTTTATTTTGTTTAATTCAAACTAGCTTAATAGATTTCATATATTTTTTAAGTAGTATAGTTCTTTAACTAATAATGTACAAAAAAAAGTTAATTTTCATGTGAATAGTTCATGCAATATTGTAGATGTTTTTTTGATATCTCAATAAAGACATGCCTTTAATAATATAATTGCAGGTTAAAAAAAAAAATAAAGTTAAAATTTTAAATTATAAAAGCTTTTCATGTTAATCATATGCATATCAACTACATTCATTATATTAATAACTGAATTGACAACAGGTTAAAGAATAAATACATACTTTTTAATAAAATCTTTAACAAATAAATTATTATTGGATATGATACAAAATATACATTAAATTTAATCTTGAAATTGTTATACAATTGCAGCAATTTACCGAAATCGCAAAAGTTGTAAAGATTGCAACCAACCGTTACAAAAAAAAAAAAAATAAATCTGCGAAATTTGCAGATGATTATTTGCATTTTTACGATTTATTTTATCCATCATCAACATCATAAAAATGATGCCATCCGGATGCTTTTTAAAAATTTTCAAGTTTTTTTTTTAAATTTTTGTTGGTTTTTTTTTTTTTTCTACGAAGAGAAAATAGGTGCAGTCCGATGTATTGATAGCCGACTACTCTTAATACTAGCAAACAGGTAAATGTGAATAAAGATATAAGACGCGTGATTAACATCGAGCATTATTGTTCCCTTTGGGAATCAATGGAGTTGAGATTTAGGCTGGGCAATATGGCGATTCTGTGGAAGTAATTTCGCCGGAAATTGTTGCCTGTCAGCATTGTCTATCTTGGTCAACATCCGGGTGTGAAGAGGAGTGACATTTACATTGGGTTGCTTTGGAAGATTGGGATCAGTGCTTTCCTGAAAGCTCATTAAATAAGGAAGTTCAGGAAGTGAAGGCCCAAACTTATCGCGAATCTTAGAGTACCCTCGACGAATGTAATCAAAATGAATGCGATTGAATTCTTCCATTTCATTGAATTGAGAGAAGAAGTCTATTGGTTTGGTTTCCATCTATCAAAATAATCTCATAGATCAATAAACTGATTATATTACATTCATAAAGAAAGAAGAAAGTAAAAAATGAACCCAAAAAGACAAGGGTAGATTGATCTTTTCTCTGAAAATTTACCTCAGCTCGCAGTTTGGCACGAATTTCAGCACGTCTTCGTTCAACCTCTGCCAATTCTCTTTCCTTTTCTCTCTTTTTGCGTTCCTCCTCCTCGTGCTTCCTCATAATCTCCTGTGATATTCTGAGTTGTTTTTTTCTTTCTTCCTCCTCTCGTCGACGTTTTTCCTGCAGGAAGATGATTCAGCGCATTAGTGATCACAATGATCGAAGGGTAGTTATCGAACTATCACGTAAATCTTTCATTACCTCTTGCTCCTTTCGTTGTGGTTCATAGAATAATTGATCCCATATTTTTTCAAAAGTTGGTTGTTCTTCGGTAGGCGGTGCCCACGGTCGATAGTTATCAATTATCTCCTGAGGGATTATCCTATTCTCTTTCGGAGGTGATTCATTCGGCTCTGTCCTTGGCGAAGATTGTGAAAGTGTCTGTGTGGAAGATGGGGAGATTTCGGGCGTTTTAACCGTTCCCTTAGATATTGATTTTGCTTTACCCTTGGGTTTACAAACGGGAGCTGCCGACATTCTCCTTCGTTTTTGTGGAGGTGCTTTCTTTTTCTTTCAAATTCAAAAAATTTTTAATCAGCCAAACTGATAACCCATTTTCTTCTAATTAAAATTGTTTAATACAATGAATAACTCAATGCCTTATATACCTTTGACGTTCCTTTATCGTATAATTTTTTGCAACGTGCGAAGGAGGATCGAGAACGAATACAACAACAATATATTATAGAAGAAAAAAAAAAAAAAAAAAAAAAAAAAAAAAAAAAAAAATGAAAAGATGCATCATACAGAAAAAAAATATTCCACCCAGAGCTACTAGCAAAATTTATTAGAAACGCGAGAA